CCACGAGCGCGATATGAGCGCCACAGTCGATCATGATGCCGATGGAGATGGCAGCAGAGACCTCGTCGACCTGGCCAGCCTCGTCGATGATACCCAGGATCACCTTGGGTGCGTTGGGCTGGTCGAGCCTCCAGGAACCTTCGTGGGCGCAATGAGATTGCTGCATTTGCTGCTGAGGTCGTCTTTGAACTTCCGCCAGCCCTTATTATTGTTGGACCTGTTGGGCTCGGTGTTCCATGCGCGTCGATTATGACTGGTGGCTGACTTGTGGGCGTCAGGATGCGCGATGCGCTCGTCCTCTGCAGGTCGTGCAGCACAGCTCGGGCACTGCGGTAAGTTGACGAGGCGGCCCTCTCTACGTGCTGCGTCGAGGGCGACGGCTGTTTGGCCCGCTGCTGAGTTGGGGCCAGCGACGGCGAGAACGGTGGAACTCAGTCCCGCGACATGTGCCCAGAGACTTGCTCGCGCGGCTGCGAAACGTGCTTTACAGGTGCCAGGTGGCCCTTGTACCGCCGTGACGAGATGTTTGACGGATGAGCGGGGTGCTTGCGCATGGCCGTCGTTGAGGTCACGCGCTGCACTGGCCCCTTTGACGGTGTCCTCAGCGGGCGCGTTGTTGGCGCGCTGCCACACCGAGCCTGGGTGTTCGTCTATTTCGGCGTGCGCGATTGGTTCCAAGGCGCCCGGCGCGCCCCCCGGGCCGCCACACTTGTCTGGATCAAGCAGCGGGCCCCCGAGCGTTGCACGACTTCGGAGACGCAGAAAGTGCCCGCGCAGTGCGTTCCCGTGTCGTTGGACTTCTAGTTCTTCCCCTTGTCGTCTGCCCCAAAGGCCACCATGCATGGCAACGCAGGCAGCGTGGCCCCCCATAGATCGCCCCGGTGTGCGTTGGAGTGGTACATGTTCGACAGGGCGTTTTTGACCTGTTCGTGCTGGATCGCACTGGGCGCGATGTCGGCGCGGCAGCGAGGCGCCCCTGTCTTTTCTGGCAGCGGCGCTACAGCAGAGGTGCTGTGCAGTGGCCCGTCGAACTTGTCACGCTTGACCAGGGAGCCGTTGGTTGGGTAGACGCGACAAAGCGGATGGAAGCTCCGCTCGTCGTCTGGGATGACCCCTACGGGGGAAGGAGGGGAGACCACGCGGAGACAAGCGATTTCGTCGGTGTCGGGTCCCTTGTATGACAGCAGCACCGCTCGTACTCCTTCATCCCAACAATCTGCTGTCAGCTGCCACTCGGTGTCCCAGTTGACCACGTAGTAGTCCGTGGCTTCGCTCTCCTCGGAGGGAGTCTCCTCGATCCAATCCCCCAGTTTGCACTCCTGTATGAACCAGTGCCGACTCGCTGGTGTCATCAGTTCCAGGCTAGCGTCTAATTCGCAGGAGCGGTTGGCATTCAAGCCCCTACGAGTCTTGGTTTTTCCGTCATAGTCTGGGCCAAGGTTGGCACGCATTTCAACTTGGCTCATCCGAACAAGTCTGACGACGTGTTCCGTGGCGTCAGTTGGCCAGGCGCTGGGCAGAGTGGCTCCACTGGGGACCCTTCCGACGCGGGAGTCGAGGGAATGATCGCTTGTCTTCCGTGGTCCCACCGGAAACTTTAGACCGCCTTTATTTCAGTAGCGGCTTCTCGTCCACGACCCGTAGTAACAGCGGTGTCCGGACCCCCGTTGCTTGTGAAGCCCGGTGCGGTGACAAAAATTGGACGGCGCACTTGATTGTCCTGAGTTGCCCTGTGTCCGTGAGACTGGCCAGCTGGGAACGGTGCCAGGTGCGCCGCGAGGATTAGGGCCAGCAGTGCTCGCAGCGGCGCCTGGGCTGCCAATGCCAGCTACCGCGGCGGCCTCTTCCTGAGGGGGAGCGACTGGCGAAGCGCTGCTGGAGGGCCCTGGTGGTGCCATTGCTTGCGCTGCCTTCTCGTTGCGAGCGATGTCGTCAGCGGTCAATACTTTGGGTTCACTCGGTGTCCCGGTGTTCCGTGTTCGAGGGTGCGCTGGTACTCCAGGGGCCCAAGCACTGTTTGGCGGGCGGACTCCATCTTTGTTCCCAGTGACTCCCAGTGGCGGCACAGCAGTGGACTCCTGGTAGGTCGCTGGGTAGAGGACGGGAACGTGGTCCCAGTCTGGTGGGAAGAGCATTTCCTGGCCGCGGCACATCGGGATCCATGGGCCCGGTAGTCACCGTTTCGCCCAGTCGACTGGCACGGCCATCCACTCGGGCTCCCATCCATCCCACTTGAGGCGTGTGCTGTGTTTCCTGTTGACCTTGTCCGTGCATGTGCCGTTGGTGCGCGTCCACAGATTCCCAGGGGAGTCAAACTGACCCGGATCTGACCAGCCGCCCTTCCATTGTTTAGTGGCCATTTCCTTCTGATGATCTCCACAGAAGGGAGCTTTATCCCACGCGTGCATCTGGCAGGGCTCGCACAGCCATCGCCATGTCTGCATGTGTCACCAAGCCAACATCGGCATGTAACGGAGCTCGAACATGGGCTGTCCAGTGGCGATGGCCCGCCGCGGTCCACTTGGGTCGTGCGGCCCCAGCGCCAGAATGCGAGCCGAGACGTGTGCTTTCCCACTGCTGCCGCATGCTGCTTCAGTGGCCATACCCGTTGTGGCAGCTAACCGCTGCAGCCTTAGCACCAGAGGAGAGGACAGACTGGGCGCGATCCCGGTGAGCGATCGCTGGCCAAAGCAGCAGCGGGGGAAGGGGGAAGGAGGGGCCCGACCGCGCGCCCCCTGAGCCAAAACGGCTTACGGGCGTTCCAGTGCGCCCACCGCGGCAGCAGTGTCAGCAGTGTCCAGAAGGTCCACCTGGGAGACAGGAGACAGGGGAGGAAGAGGAGGGGCGGCGGAGGCACGGTGGAAGAGGATGGCGGTTGCATTTTGGCCGGCTTCGTGCAGCTTGTGGGCCCAACAAACACCCAGTGTGGCCAGGCGGTCAGCAGCTTTGTTGAGACGTCTTCGCACGGCCTGCCAGGTCAGTGCCCGCCCGGCATCCCCAGCGGACCGAAGGCCCGTTTCCATTTGCTGGCGGAGCGTGACACGTCTGTACCTGGCCGCGCCTGCCCCGTATCTGATGGCACCGAGGTTATCGCCAACGACACGTGCTCTTTGCCCGCGACACGCTGTGAAGCTGAGTTGTGATAGCCCTGCCCTGCATCCCGCTACTTCGGCTGCTTGTGCGTTATCCGAGCTGGGTAAGGCCACGATGCCACTTCCGACGAGGTCGGGCCGTCGGTGGGGATACGCGAAACTTGAAGAATTCGGGAGCGCACTGACCCGGGCCAGCCCAGACCCAGGTCGGCCGGCCGCGCAATGACTCCCAGACCCCGTCCAGCGGGGAGGGCGGAGAGGAGGCATCGGCACCGCGTGGCTCTCAAATCCGGGTCAGCCAGAGGGGGTTGGCCGACCCCCGCATACATATATATATATCACACACATATATATATATACACAAGACTGCAGTGGCGCTTCGCGCCATGCACCTTGGTCCTTGAAGTTTGGTATGCAGGCGGAATGGCAGGAAGGTCAAGCCGACAATTTGGCGATAACTCCTGGTTGCCTTTTTCCGGCATCGCCGCTATAATGATGTTATTCGTTATCCTTCCTCCATGGCTATTGTTCCTCATTTTCGCTATACCCTGCGCATTCTCCCCATCCTCCTCAGCTCTTTTTTGCGGAGGTTCCTCCTTGGAGAGCCTCTAGGGGCCTCACAAAAAGTTGTTTCGGGCTTTCTTAAGGCCTTCTGGAGGCCTCCTGGGCGTATTCTGGGGGCCTCCGGGGGGGTCCTCGGGCCACCCTGCCTCCAACCGCCCTCCCCCTGAACGACCGAATCACGATTTGGAATTATTCGGAAGGTGTCTTTGGGACATCTTGGGCCGCCATGGGGCTCTCTGAGGGCCACCTTGGGCCCGTGTTGTGCCGTTTTGGGGCTTTCTTGGGCTGCCTGGAAGCCCTTTCGGATGGTTGTGGGGCGATTTGGGAACCTCCCAGACGGCTTCGGACGCCCAGAAGACCGCCGTCTTGATGCGTCGGGAAGCCGAAAAGAGGAGAACCCCACAATTCACCAAAAACCAACAGAAAATCAATGATTTTTGCCTCGGGGGGCCTTCTTGGGAGTGCTCTTGGAGGCCTCTTTGGGGCCGTCCTGGAGGCCTCTTGGGCCATCTTGAGGTCACGTCGGTCACTCTTGGAGCGCTCTTGTGCTGTCTTGTGGGTCTCTGGGACGTCTCCGATGACCCCCCTGATCGCCCTAAGTGTGCTGGGAAGGCTTGGCAAAACGCCTTGCGAGGCCCGGTGGCCGCTTCAAAGCCCGTCCGGAGGGCCCCAAAGCCCCAGGTCCCGGGAGTCCTGTTTTGGGGGGGGGGCACGGGTTTTCCCCCCGCCTGGGCGTACAAAAATATAGGAAGAATAATATATATATATATATATATGTATATATGTATATATGTATATGTATATGTATATATATATAAATGTATAAATGTATATATATATATATAAACCATATACATATACATATAAGTGTGTGTATATATATAGTGTTTCCCGGATGACGGTCGCTACCCGGGGGGAGGGGCGAGGGGGTTCGGGCGGCCACGGCATGCACCCGCCAGCATGCGTCCGCGCCGCCGGCGCTTCAACCGCGCGTGTGCACCACAGCATGTAGGGGGGGTGGTCCAGGTCCCCCCTCCCCGTATATCGTCAGCGTTACCCAGGGGAGGGGGGGAGGGGAAACAAAAAAGCCAACTTAGCGCTGACCCCGTTGCCAAGACCCCCGACGTCGTGATCTTTTTTTAACGTCGGCCACCAGAGGTCTCGACCCATTCCCCGAAGCTATGGCATCTAGTCCTGAGTCATTACTTGACGGCCCCGAGGCCCACAAGGGGCCCCCGGAGGCCGAAATTAGCAAAAAGCCTGGCGTCGTGCATTTTTCAAGACTCGAGGGGTTGTGCGCTCCGTGCGCCACGAAGAATTCGGGAACGATCCGTCCCGTGCCACCTGCAGACGGTCGCCCTCGAAGTACCCGGGCACCTCGGCGGCGAGCGCCCGCGCTGCTTGGAGCGCCCTGCCAGCCTCCGGAGATACGAAGCGCCACACCTCCCAAAGGAGAGAAGCGGACTACCACCACCGCGAATCCATCAGTGGGGGGCCGACCCCTGGACGGTGGCACGCCCGAGCGTCACCCCAATACAAGATGACGCTCATAGAGGCCTCCCAGATGGGGTCGGAACAGATGGGGTTGGAGGATCGCGCCGCATCGCGGATACATCAGCGATGCATCGGCAATGTATTGGCGATGCACTGGCGATGCATTGTCGACGTCTGCGATGCATCGGCGACGTCGACGTGAAGCAAATTTGGGCCCCACATCGAGCCGCATCGCCGATGCATCGGCGAAGCGGAGCGATCCTTCGACCCCACCCACTCGGATCCCATCTGGGAGGCCTACAGCTCAGGCGTGCCACCGCCCAGGGGCCAGTTCATCACCGATGGCTTCTCGGTGGCGGTGGTCCACGTTCCTCCGCTACTAGAAGAAGACAAAACAGCATAAGCACAAACTTTTGGCGCTACGCTCGGATTTCTTGGATCCGCGCCAGGCCCCCCTCCCTGGCGGCGCGCGGAGCGCACCAGGGGCGGCGCTGGAGGCGCCGCCGGGGGCGGGGCCCAGCGCGGATCCAAGATATCCGCGGAGGAGGAGGAGGAGGAGGCGGAGGAGGAGGAGGAGGAGGAGGCGGAGGAGGAGGGGGGGACGGAGGATCAGGAGGAGGAGGAGGAGGGGGAGGAGGGGGAGGAGGAGGGGGGCGGAGCGCTCAAAGTTTTTATGTGTTTATGGCGGCTGCTCTTCTTCGACCCTCTGCACCGTCTGGAGCCCCGAGGCCGCAGAGCCCCAGGCGCGGTCCGCGCGGGCCCGCGCCTCCTGCCCCGCGTGCTCCGCGCGGGCCCGCGCCTCCCGCCACGCGTGCCCCGCGCGGGCCCGCGCCTCCTGCCCTGCGTGCTCCGCGCGCGTGCGCGCCTCCTTGCAGGGGCCCCAGGACACACAAATAAACGCACACAAATAAAAAGGATTCCCAATATTTTCCCATATTTTCTGGGTTTTTGTCTTCCCCCCCACTTCCCATATTTTCTCATATTTTCCTGTGAGTAGACGATTCCTTGTGTCTGTGTGTTTTGTTCCCTCCTGACTCCTGCCACGCGGCCCCTGCGCCCGGGAACGCCTTCGCCGTGGACCGGAACACGGTGGGGGCATTGGGCAAGGAGCCCTCAGGTAAGGAATCCAGGGTCCGGAAGGCCGTCGAACTCCGATCGTGGATCGGCCATGCCATGGATATCACCGCCACCCTCATCAGATAAGGAATCCTGCAGGGTCTGCAGCCTCCTGGGCACATTGCTTGACGAATGCCCCCACCGTAGAGGCCTCCCAGATGGGGTCGGGTCGGAGTACGTAGACTGGGTCGGAGGATCTCGCTGCATCGCCGATGCACCGGCGACGCACTGGCGATGCGCCGGCGACGTCGGCATATGCATCGGCGCCGTCGGCGTGCCGAACATCGGGCCCCGCATCGAGCCGCATCTCGGCGATGCATCGGCGATGCAGCGCGATCCTCCGACCCCAGCTACTCGGGCCCCATCCAGGAGGCGTAGACAGAAAGGGCTCCGAGGGAAAGAAGTCGCGGGCCCTGGGCCTTCCCGGGGGCCTCGCTGACTACCCGCCAGACCCCTTCAGTCCAACCCGAGGTCTCAAACTTCGGGTGGGGGGGGTACGGGCGCTCAAGTGTGTTTCTCGAGGCTGCTCCGGGAGACCCACTCCACTGGGCATGGAGAGCAGGTTGGGGGCCCTCGTGCTGGGTTGGGGGTGGTTGCGTAGGTGGTGCCTTGCGGCCTGGGGCCCTGCGATCAGGGTCATTGCGACAACAGGCACTACAACATGCTACTGACTCCTCGAGCCAGATCGCTCTGTGATGGTCCTGGGGCCCGAGAGCGGGCGCAAGCGCTCGGCCTGCAAAACATGCATTGCCCGGACCTCCCGGGAACCGGGAGCCCTGCCGCCCCGAGGCTCTCCAGGAAGACCCCCCCCCGCTGAGAGGGCCCCTTTGGCTGACAGCGACGCCTGCTGGGCTGCCAGCAGCTGCGAGGAGGCGAACTCTCGTGCGTGGACGGCCCCCGAGGAGACCACGTGCCACGCATGGTCCGCGCCCAGCTCCGCTCCGTGCTCCCCGGCCAGCGTGGCCACTGTCGCCAGCGTGGCCACCGTGGCCAGCGCTCCGAGGGTGCGCATCATGGCTGGCGCGGCGAGCCAAGCGCGTGCACGGGAAGCTTCTGTGGAAGATGCCGGGTGACGCCCTGCCTGAGCAGAGCGGCCACGATGCCAGCGCACGAGGCGCACTTCGGTGGGGACGCGGCCGCAAGACGCCCGGCCAGCGAGGCAGTCCTGCCCTGAGATCCCAGCCCGGAAGTGCCGCAGAGTCTCTTGCACAGGGCCCAGGCTTCTCGTCCGAGGGATCCAGTCGGAGCTCAGCTGCCCCGATACGCAACTCGCAACACGTAGCGTATTGATACGGAGCTGAACACGTACGTTTTGAACACGGACGCTTTGAACACGGCACGTGTTACGCTTCAAAACGTGCGTACCAGAGCAGCTAAGAGTCGGAGACATCCCAAGTACCCTCGGCGCAGCAAGTTCTAAAAAGTATAGGGACAGGTCGGCGCGCATCGGTGGAATCGACGACACCTGGGGCACCCCGACGAAAAGCGTATGGTTCCTTGGTGCGCGTCCCCGCTGCATTTCCAGACATGCGACGTCCTGACTTTTGTCAGGACAGCGTCCCTGGAAGTCCCGACCCTTTCCCCAGGGCGGGTTTTCTCATCCTGAGTCGTTTTTTGATGGTCCCGAGGCCCGGCGAGGGCCCCCCGTGGCCGAAATTGGCCAAAAACCTCCCATCCTGATTTTTGTTACGACGCGATCATGTCTGGGGCTGCATTCGAGGACATGCAACCAAGACATCTGCATTCATCGTTCATTCCTCACCTGCCTAGAGCCCGCCTCCGTGCCGCGAGGTGCCGAGTGGAGTGTCCTCGGGCAACCCTTTCGAGCTCGTGCCCAGCGCTGCACATGAGAACCCCCCCAAAACATCGAGGATGTTCATTGAATGTATTTGAATACTTTTCGTCGTCGCCGTCGCCGCCACCGCCGCCACCGCTGTCTTTGTCGTCGTCGTCGTCGTCGTCGACGTCGTCGTCGTCGTCGTCGTCCTTCAGGATCGGCGGCACAGGCCGTAAGGCCTTCACAATATTCTTTCAACCAGGGTTTGGGTGGGCGCTCTTTCTTAGGCTGCGTTCGCGTGGCTTTTCCAGAGGGCATCGGGAGTGCGGTTCGGAATCAACACTTCCACCATTCTCCAAGATGGGCCCGAGAAACCGTTGTGGGGCTCTAGCGGGGGCCGCTTGGGCCGTCTTGGTCCAAGACCCGCCGAACAGGGCCCCCGAGGCCCCCAAGAGAGGCCAGGAGGCCCCTAAGAGGCCGCCCCCGAAGGGGCCCACGAGGGGGAACTCAAAATGCTATAAGGCTGCTGTACCCCAAGATTGCCCCCGAAGCAGCCGGCAGGCCCCCAAGAGGCCCCAAGATGTCTCAAGAGGCCCCCAGGAGAGCCCCAAGATGTTCCAAAGAGACCTCCCAGAGCTCCTCAAAAGGAGGCCTCCAAGGGGCCCGAGGAGTCATCCAAGATGTCTCGTCCACGACCAGGCACGGTGGCGGGGAAGTGGATGCCCATGGGCACCAGAGTGCGCCATATACACATGAGCATGACATTCATGCGCAATCCACCGCCTCCGTAATTATTCTGCCAGAGGAGTGCCTGGCATCCCCGAGCATTTCCCACTGCCCTTTGGCCGAGACCCACAGGGGCCTCTTGCAGCTCAGAGGGCTCCAGGAAGGTCTCCAAGAGGCCCTGGTCGGCATAAAGTCGGTCCAAGGAAGCCCAAACTGCCTGGAAGTATTTGAGCTCAAGCTGACTCCAACACTTCCCAAGATTGCCCCTAAGACGCCCAAAGCTGGCCTCAAGACGGTCCGAAAGATCCCCGAGACGCCCCAGTAGTGCTGCAAGAGGTTCCCCAGGTGGCCTCGACAGGCAAACAGTGTGAGTTCCCTCGTGTGTTTCCATCAATCTCGGACTGTCGCCAAATTCCAATCGTGAGAGCGTCAACGCCGGCGCAAGAGTCCCCCAGTACCACCCAAAGACGGCCAAACAGACCCTCAACAGTCTTGGATCTGCTGAACCGGGTCAATCCAGACCCAGTTCAGTCAGGCTCTGGAGGATCCAGCAAAAATTCTGCAGGATACTGCGGGAACCTGCACCCAAGCCCGGGTCAGTGCGCCCTTGGCCCTGCAAGATCCTGCAGAATCCAGCGCTCTGGCTGACCTCCGTTTGCATTGACCCCCGTCTCTTGAGGCCCGAAAGAGGGCCCCAGGGCGCCCCGGTACGGCTCCCGCGCTTGCCAAGACGGCCTTCTCAGCGCCCCAGGATGACCCCAAGGCGACCCAGAGAGAGAGGCCCCAAAGGCAGCCTCCGAGGGCGCCAGAGTGCCCTAAGAGCGCCCTCGGACGGCCTCGGAGAGTGCCAAGATGGCTCAAAGAGGGTTCCAGGAGGCGCCCAGGAAGACCAAAAAGGCCAGAAAACCCCAAGATAGCTTCAAGACAGCCCTTGTCAAGTTTCCCTCCAGAAGCTTCCTCAACAGCTGGGGGAACAAGCAGTCCACAAGCGTGGCCGCACTCTCGCTCGACGTTTCACGACATACGCGTTTGGGCCAGCGCTGACACGCCGTAAGCGTCTTCGATTACAGATGCGCACCGTTACTTCGTACATCGCGACGGGCAGACTACAGCTCGAACTGGAATGCCCAAGAATCTCTCAAGCCATCGCCGTTCCCTAAACCCGTGCGAGGCATCAAAACATGGGGCGGGATCGAACGTTCCTGTAAATCACCATGCGGGAAGCGGAAACCGAAAGAGCAAAGAACTGACAGTCCACGAAGTCTCCGCAGTAGGAAGACTAAAAAGGGGGGGAAGAAGTTAAAAGCACCGGCCCAAGGAGGAGGAGGAGGAGGAGGAAAAAGAGGAGGAGGAAGAAGAAGAGGAACCGAGAACACGGGGACCTCCCCAGGATCAGCTTTTTGCCGCCGAGTCGTTGGTCGACGGCCCACAGCGCCAGGAAAGGGCCTCGAGAGGCCGACAGATTGCGGACCACACCTCATGGCCCGTTCTCCCAGGACCCCGTCTCTTGCCAAGGCCTCCTCCTTCTCCTCCTTCTCCTCCTCATCCTCCTCCCTGGGGCCATCTTGGAGGGCGTCTCGATCACAGACGGGGGGGCCTCAGCTTTAAGGCTACTATGCTGGGCTGCCGCACGCGGGTGGAGAGGAGGTCATCGTGACATGCGGGGACGGGCACAGCGGCGCAAAAAAGAATGAGCACATGCACACTGCGCTGCCGGACAGAGCAGCACCCGCAGGGCTGCCATCGAAGAGGTATGAAACGGTGGATACCAGTTACCTGCAGCATCAGATGCTTGCTGAAACGAGGCGGCCCCGATTGGAATAATTGACGAACGCACCAACTCATAATATGTATGTTCCTCCTGCTTCTCGAGCCGATCCGTTTTCTTGCTGCTCTTCATCCTCCCCCTCCTCGTACTCCCTCATTCGCTCCACCTATAGCCCCTCTGTCCTCCTGATGCTGCTCCTCTTCCTCCTCCTGCTTCCACATCATCCTGCGTGTGCTACGCCTTCTTCTCCACTTCCGCCTCGACCTTCTTCTCATCATCCCCTTCCTCCTCCCTCGCCCTCCTCCTTCTGCCATCCTGCCCCATCCACCTCCTGCTCCTCCTCGTCCTCATCCACCTGTTCCTGCTTCCTGCTCTCCTCCTCCTCCTCCTCCTCCTCATCATCATCATCATCATGATCATCATCATCAGCAGCAGCATCAGCAGCAGCATCAGCATCAGCATCAGCATCAGCATCAGCATCTCAGCATCATCAGCATCATCAGCATCATCATCATCATCATCATCATCATCATCATCATCAGCATCATCATCATCATCATCATCATCATCATCATCATCATCATCATCATCATTATCATCAGCATCAGCATCAGCATCACCAGCATCAGCATCAGCATCAGCATCAGCATCAGCATCAGCATCATCATCATCATCCTCATCATCCTTCTCTCCGGTCCCTCCTCGTTGTCCTATGTCTCCTCCCTATGCCGCCTCCGTTTCCTTCAACCCTCTTTTCTCTTGTACCCTGATCCTGCGCATCCTCGTCCTGCTTGCTACTGTTGGAGCTCCTGCTTCTCGTGCTGCTCCGCCTCGTCATCCCCTTGCCTCCTACTCCTCCTCATCCTCCTCGTCCTCGTTCGCATATTATTCCTCCTCGCGACTTTGCCCCTCCTCCTCACGCTCCCACCTCCTCATCCTCCCCAGCGTCCTGTCATTCAACTGAACGCCCCTGGGGGGGCAGACACCACCGCCCTAAGTTCTTGAGAACGTGGGAGACTTGGCGGAGGAAGATAAGGGCAACCGAAATGATCAGAGGGCGAAAGGGAGGGGGGGTTCAAGACAGCCCCAGAGGGCCCCCCGAAGAGCCAACAATTGTCCGAGAAGGCCCGAAGGAAGCCCCAAAAAGCCCCCCGACAACGGTCTTCCACAAGCATACCCAGCAGTGCCGAAAACGGCAGGCGAAACCGAAGAGGGAGACAAAGAGGTAGAGAGGAGGCTTCGCCAATTAGTTGTAGACGTCAGAAAGCCTTCCAGGGGCCCCCTGGGCGCCCAAGACGGCACAACGGGGCGCCAAAAGGGCTGCCAGGCGGCCCAAGATGAGACCGAGAGGCCTTCAGGACGGCCCGAGAGCCCGTGGAGCTATTTCAGCGTGGCCCGGGAGGCCCATTGAGTGTCGCACGAGGCTCCAAGAGAGCTCCAGGAGGCGCAAATGGAAGCCCGAGAAGGCCGAGGCAAGGGGTGTGCCCCAGATCAGCGCGCGCGCGCACAGTGAGCCCGCACAGTGCGCCCGCGCAACGCGCCGGCACAACGCTCCCGTACAGCGTGCGCGCACAGCGCGCCCGCACAGCGCACCCGCACAGAGCGCCCGTACAGCGCGCCCGTATAGCGCGCCCGCACAGCGCGCCCGCACGGCGTGCCCGCACAGCGTCCCCTCGCTCTGTTTGTTGCACAAAGGCTTTGGGCGTCTCTGAGTTTTTCGGCTCGGCATGGCTCGGAGAGGACTTCGAATGGGTCCGAGACGGCCTCAGAGGTCTCCGGGGACTGGTCAGATGAGTCCGAGAGGGCTGCAAG